GGATTGTCGGGGGCCTGTGAGGTCCATGAGGAGGCGTCGGTGGCCTGGGCCGGATACCGCTAGGTTGCGACACATTTGGTTTTGATTCATCATCGGATAAGTCCACATCCGGTGAGTTCTCTCTATTCTCTTTACCTCCCACTGACTCTGATGTAGTCTTGTCAGATAGTGTCCCCACAGTGAGTTTGGGTTCATTTCCGAACACAGTTTGCCGCCTTAGGATATCCTCCCACTTCTCCGACGCAGGATCCTCATCTTCGGGGGTTTTCCCTACAAATTTCCCTGCATTGAGGTCGCAGTCTTCATCGAATGTTATGGGCCTGGTAGTGAACACTGTTTTGGTGACAGGATCATATAATCGGTATGCCTTCTTGCCTGGTATGTACCCAAGCATGACACTTTTCCTTGCTTTCGCCACAAACTTACTTTCACGTTTATCCTTGGGGATTAGGGCATAAGCTATGCACCCGAATGATCTAAACCAGGAAGCGTCAACCTTTCACTTGAATAACTTTTCGTACAGTGTTTTTCCTCGAAGGCCAGCAGTGAGGGATCGTGCTGTGAGGAACATGGAAGTGTCCATGGCGTATGTCCAAAAGGACTTAGGTAGTCCTGATTCTATAAGCATAGCTACTGATTGGTTTACTAATGTTTGGTTCATTCGTTCCGCTAGGCCATTTTGTTTGGGGTTGTCTGGAGCTGTAGATAAGTGCATTATTCCCTGCTCCTTCAGTTTCGCACTAAACACTTTATTGAAGTATTCACTGCCTCCGTCTGTCTGGAAAAACTTCTGGAAATTTGGGGAGAACTTGATGGTGCCCAGTTCGGTTTTGAAGCCTGAACATCATCCGCCCACTCCAGGAACTTGTCTAAAGCCTCACTCTTTTTCGCCATGTAGTATATCCATGGATGTCTTGAATAGTCATCTATAAATGATATCCAATATCTTTTTCCATCACGCGACTGTGGGGACATGGGGCCTCCCACATCGGAATGGATAACCTCTAATGCTCGAGTAGCCCATTTTCCTTTGTTCAAAAAAGGCAACTTCTTTTGCTTTCCCTGGACACACGGGGCGCAGAAGACTGGTGTACCAGTGAGTTTTGTCACATTTCTCAACCTTCCGTCTGACACCATTCACTTTAGCCGGTCAATAGCCATGTGCCCCATCCTCCAGTGTAAAACATTGGTATCAATCGTGATGTGTACTTGCTCATCAGACTTAGGCACGATTGCGGTGGCTTGTACATGGTATAGTCCATGGTTTTGTTCAGTGGTCATAACTATCTGGTGGGTTCCACTTTGCTGCAGTTTCGCAGTTTCTCCTTCAAACATTGCATAGTAACCTCCTTTGGTTAGGTGGCATATGGACAGCAGCGTGACTTTGAATGTGGGAACTAGGAGGGCATTCTTGATTGTAGTGGTAGCAGATATGTCATTTATGTCTTGTTGCAATATAATTGTTCCTTGGCCGGTTGCATATACAGCGGAGTTGTCTCTGAAACGGACTTTTCGAGGTGGCCTTAAGGGCTTGAATGAATGGAACCATTCTCTGTTAGGGGTCGTTGTGGTGGACGCTCCGGAGTCCATAATAATGCTGTTTCAGTCATTCTCAGAATTCCCCCCAAGGTAAGCACCAATATGTCTCTTCAGGGTAGTAGTTACATGTGCTTGCTCCTCATCTGATTCAGACTCATTGCTATCACCATCCGATCCACCTTTGGCTCTATGGGCCTTCTCTCGTCCTCTGCTTTTCAACTTCTTTTTATCTGTGCCTCTCTTTCCACCTTTCTTCTCCTCCTGTCTCAACTTCTTGAGGGTGAAACAGTCATCCGTGTTGTGGGAGGTCGAGTTGTGGTGGGTGCACCATTGGTCGGCTTTGGGCTTAGCTTTTGGATTGCTCTTTGTGTTGTTTGCTCTTGCCGACTTCAGCGCTGCTTCAGATTCGATTCCGGCATTGCTGTGGTGGTGGACATCTTCGGCGGTGAGACGGTTTGATACCGTGCAGAATGAAAGGACATCTCCATCAGGCAGTGATCCAAGGACCGACATGGTGAAGTTCTCCCAGGTCATATTCTTGGGGAGTGAGTGCAAGAGGAGGAAAACCAGGGTTTCATCATCAAACACTTTCTTCATTGAGCTGAGACGCACATTCGCAGCCGATATGGCAGATATGTGTTGAGCAATAGGGGACTCGCCATCCCATTTGAGATTCATCATTGATATAAAGGTGTAAAATGTGGTGACACCAATATTTGTTTTCTCGAAGATTTTGATGATGGCATCGAATAGCCCTTGAGCGGTGGTCTCTGAAGCGAGATCAAGAGCAGTTGGTCACTGATATACTGGGTGATAATACCATGAGCTTTTGCGTCACAGATTTCCCAGGTATCAGTTTCACGGTCTCCGGGCGCTGGGAACGTGGTGCTACCCAATAATGTGGGTGGCGTAGTGGCAGGCCGAGAAGAGTGTCTCCCACTTTTTCTTGGTTGAGTATGCTCTTGATCCTTAGTTTCCATCTCTGGTATTCTTCGGGACCAGCCAGAGTTGGGCACTGGGATGTAGAGTCTGCTGCCGGCATAGTACGTAGTTGTTGTGTGCAGGCTTATGGAATTTGATAAGGATTCGTTCGAGTTTGTATGTGTAAGTTCTCGTGGTCACTATTTGTCACTAGACAGGGCTCATAACCTGTCAATTCTGATGTAAAAGCTCATTTGCACATAGTGGTAACAACTGAGTGCATAATCATACCTGATGTAAAAAGTTAATATAATATATAAGTATGATGGTAATAGAAATGATAATTAATGCAGACATACCTCAGTTGCACGTAGTGGTAACAACTGAGGGAAAGAAAATATTTGGCGCGCAGATAGTATTATCTGCGACGCCTGTGGGTGTAGGGTGTCTTTGTATCCCATAGGCTTGGTTCAACACCTACTTCAGTTCTTGACAGGGGCTTGTAACAAGGATGGGGGTTTGGTCTACACCGTCCTGTGAAATAAATAGTTTATGTTTTTCGTTCTAATAAGCTGAGATGATTTTTTATTATGTTCAGCCGCCAGCTCAGGGCACCGCAACCGCCCGGTGAAGGGCTTGTACCGAACCTAAGAACACTCGACCTTTCCTCCCTCATGATACTTATCCAGTGGCGGATTAAGGTATTAGAACATATTTGCTATATTGATTAGATATGTGCTGTAGGGGATATCTTTTTCTTCAGGCTAACTCTATTAAGTTCAAAATTATGCTGGAACTGGTTAAAGACATCCGAAATGTGGGTTCAAATGAATCCCGTCAGCGTAAACTCCTGGCAATCAGCTCGGTTTTGTGATGTATACTTGCCAAACTGCCACACGGTAGGCCTATTTACGTACAACAAATTTCGGGGCAAACAGAGACGGATGCGGAGAACGAAGAGGTCGTTCGGAGGAAGTTGATTCCAGGGTTTTTCAAAGCTGCAATCTTTTAGTTATGTTCATTCCGAGATGATCATCAGAGGTTGGGCTCGGTTAGGAGCCAGGCTTTTCAGTATAAAAAACTTAGTACATGGCATGAAAAACTCTAAGACCGGATCTTCATCCATTCTCAGCTACTCTCTTTTAGCACTTCTTTGACTTCTACTACTCTATCCCTTTCATAATGTGCGTTTATACCTGTCTCTGATCTCTATTATCATGTTCGTACTAACGCGTTACTATCAGTATAACATGCAATTGTCATCTCCACTGCATTTTTTTCGTTCTGTTCTTAGCCCTCGGAATCGACGCCGCGGCACCTTTCCGCGCTGGAGGTCTTCTAAAAGACAGCGCAGGCTAGCCCATAAGGGTACAGCGCCGGTGCCCGCGAACATTATTCGCCCGTCTGACTTCAACGAGGAGAATGGGCGAATTGTAGCTTCGGCTACGGTTGCTTAGCTTTCGTTCCTTTCTGACCATATTGCCGCGATAGTCTCTCCACGTTTGCCTCTCTGAAGAACCTGTTTGCCAGAATTCCGACAGCGTCTTCCGTATTTACATACGTATGAGGTTTCAGTTCTCAGATCCTGCCTCTAGCGAGTCTGCATGTAGTATCACGGACACCCAAGTCAAAGAGCACAGATTCGGTGTTCTCGCAAGCAAGGGTGGTCATAGACTTAGCGCTTACTCCGGTGTCCCCATCTCTAAAGAGGCCCTGCTTGCAAAGCTCCTGGCACTCCCTTGGACAGTGGTCCCTGCAGATGAAGTTGCAGCGGCCAGGCCTCCTAAGCCTGTCACGAACCCTCATTCTAAGGCTCCTAAGAAAGCGACTGCTAGCGCACCAACCTCTGCTTCATCTTCACAGCCTGCCACCGCCATAAAGCGTACTTTGAGGCCCACATCCCCCAAGCACACTACGAAGCCTGCGTAGAAGCCAAGAAGATGGTGAAGTCTCGATTATCCGCTATGTATTGAGATTTTTCGCAAGGACGCGGCATTACTTTACGATTCCTGGTAGTTCAGGGGTTAACCGTTGTGTTTAACGCTGTAGTTGAATGACATACATGAATATATATATCCCTACTTTGAGATATTATACAGAAAGCATGCTCGCCAACCTCCAACGTTTTAATTAAGGAGTTCAGCATGTCTCAAAAATATTCACAAATTCGCTTTCATGAGACTTTCCAGTCTTTCTTTGAATATATATTTACCAATCCATGACACTAGTCATGTTGAATAGACTACAGATATAAGACCCATTAGCCTCTAAGATTCCATTTGTTCAGCCTGCCTCAAAATTAACAATGTTGAGAGTTTCCAGTTTGTCTTTGAAAATATTACTCCCCCAGGCATAACTTATAGTGTACCGTTTGCACAAAAAATAAATGCCTATATAAGAAACCTCCTATAAACATACGAGGTCTCCAAATATCCTCTCCAAATATCCCAAAACATTCAAGAATATAATAAGCACAGAACCTTGCCGCGTTATTCGACGTGGTATTGTGAAGAAGAATAAAGGTATAAGCCACATAAAATCTCTCAGGCGGGGAATTGAACCCCGGTCTCGCGCGGCCTAGAGTTAAATCCTCATGACAGGCGCGAATACTAACCACTATTCTACCTAAGACGCGTGTGAATGCCGTTAATGCTATCAATGGCCGAATAGCTGATGAAAGAGTCGGGAAGTGCCTCGAAAAAGCTTCAAATATTTTATGTGTTTTGACGATGGATGGCATCCACTCCGCCAGTACCTGTGTCACAAAAATCTAAATTGCCTGATGGACTAAATCAGAAACTCAAAACTCCTATCAGGCATGATTGAGCCTGGTCAGTGTTTGGTCAGAAGTCTGATCGAAGCCTGATGAGGCCTCGCCGTCCGTTTGAATTCCTGATAGAGTTCATCAGGCGTTTGTGGATTTTTGCGACATGGTCGAATCTGCGTCCTAATCCCAGTGAATCATTCAAAAATATTCCATTGGAAAACCAGGATATTATGGATAGTGAAAATGATGTTGTGCTTTTATCAAAGAGCCGTGGGTGTATTTTTATGGATCACCGAATTATAATATTAAAAACCAATGTATCAAGAGAATTGAAATGGTCTGAGAGATACTTAAAGTGAGAAGGAATACGAAGATCGATGCCAGAATACGAGTTCATCACTGTACCTGACGCTATCACTATCCACTATCATTTCAATGAAAAACTAAAAGTGTCTCTGTCGGGTTTAGCCATCCCGGAACTTGCATAAACTTCATCAGGAAATTTGACACGGACCCCTTTGACGCCCGTGCTAGGAGGCAGTATGAAAGGTAGCTGGTGCTATGTAGTGCTATATACCGTTTTTAGCGAATGTAACGTTGGATAGTCCCCATAGAACGGGCGTCTAGGCTACGCGGACTAGGAACACTATATAGTTCTACCTAGAATTTGCACGTTTTACTGATGTTCGTAGGCATGAAAATGCCAATTGGAAATTGGGATCTCGAAATGTGTATTTTATAATGTTTTATTGTTTCGTGTCTCGGACTGTACCACACAGTAATATATTATTTGCTATTAATCTATGAACTGCAATACAATTCGTAGAGGAACAGCCCGCTATGAATATATTAATACATTTTTTGATACATTACTAATTAGATGCCGTTCGCCGGGAGAGCATCCAAAGGCGTTGCAGCACCAGCAAATTCCAATTATAACATTCGCGTTGTTATAACACCTGGGAAAGCTTTTATAAGGTATTTCAGATCCTATTCTTCGTGTGATACTAAATCCGAAGCTTCTTCCTCATAACCCTCAAGCTTTACGTGCTTCTGAAAGTGAACTTTCCCGGGCGCACCTAGGTATACATGGAACGATCGTGCGGGAAAATTTGGTAAAGGTCGCGTACGTGAAAGGATGATGACCGGAGGTCGCCATAGGAAGTGTCTGTTTCCTTGAGCGACATCCGTTCCAGCTTCGGCCATATACTTTGTGCAAGAGGATCCGTTATATGGTGAAAGAAAATCCGAAACTTGGCGATTCTGCAAGTTCGCATGTTTTTCCTTTGGGATAGAACAGACAGAGCGTGTGGATTTCAGGAATCCTGAGGCATTGAAGCATACGAAAAAGTAATTCTGGAACTATACCGCACATTTTGAGAAATCGCAAGCTGGAGAAAAGTATTGTTGATAGTGGGCTCCATGGAAAAACACGGTGTCCCACACCATGCATTATCAAAGCGAGGCTGCGAAGATTCGGTAGTGCTTTACTAATTGCAGCCATGGAATTTATGTTCATCAATATGATCTTCAATTGCTAGGAATTGGAAAAGCGATCGGGAGGCAAGACATTTAGAGGCGGATAATGTAAACCAATATTAAGTGTGATTAGATTGAGTACGTCTAGCATCTTCAGGGAGGTACTCCTCAATAAGTCTAACGTATGAAGCTCCCGTAAGGCAGGCATCCGCCAAGACGTTTCACTAAAGCACTTCAGGACGTCGAACCCTACATGATCTACCATCCAGAATGTTCTGATTCGATTAAGGTTGTCACGCAGGAGCTCCGTGGTTACTAGAGTGCTCTCTGCATGAGATTTTGGAGGTGAAGGGTCAAAGCGAAATACATTGAGGAAGCGTAAATCGGAGAGTTCGATGGATCTCACGACGAGAGAAAGTGGGGGCATGGGGCCATTATGACATTCGTCCAAATAGAAGATACAGCCAACCAGGGCGTCCATCAGCCAAAAGGCGAAGTCCTGACAAGCGCTGGTAAGCGCTTGCAAGCTAGGCCAGAACTACAAGAAGTCTCAGGCAGAGGTGATTGCTACCAGCAGTAGTAAGTGGTTATAATCGACGGCAACTTTCGACCTTTCTGTTATTAACCATAGTATTCTTGTGGTACAGACGCCAATCTGGTATAGGTCAGTCATCCTGCTGTTAAACCCACTATGCTGATATCTAACTTGTGATTCCCTCACCAGCCCGATGGTCGAAGTACCAGGTTCACTCTTAGTCTATAATGTTTATACTGGATGTAGAGGTATGCTGAATAACTGGCTGACTATTAAACAGACTGTCCGTTCCACAGTCATTTCGGCAGTTATTCTATCATTAAGGTATATGTGCTAACGTGGTAGCAAATGTATCATCATTAGGTTCAGCTCCCCGTTCCCATCAAAAGTGGGAAATTATTACAAAAGGTTACATATTTATAGACATGCTTATTAGGAAATATATAGATACAAAATTTATGCAGCTGGGGCACTGACGACTGTAGCAGCTTGATTTGCATTCACCAGGTTCACCACTGCCGCATTCTGGACATTGTTGACCACTGCTAACCGCTTTGCTGCACGTTGCATTTTGAGGTGTTGAAGAGCACTCAAGACTGGATGCAGGGTGGTAGTATTGGCAGCCGTAGGAAATATTTGACTGCATTTGTTAATGTGTTAATGTCAATATGTTTTGAATTACCAAGACAGCCATTGAGATTTATGTTTGCCACCATTGCAATGTCTCTTTGGCTTCTTTGGCGAGTTCTTCATCTTCAAACAAATTGACGATAGTGGCGAAGAACTTGGGGTAATTGAAGCTACCTCCTTCTTTCTGAAGACTCTCTTCCGAGGATAATGCACAACGAACCTGAGGGCGGATACGGATTGATAAGGGGACAAGCAGGGATGCAACATTATTGAGAAACTTGCCAGGGTTGCAATATAAGTGATAGATCGACTTGTAACATTTTTCAGGTTGCACAGGGATGCCTTACAGGGGCGACGGTTCTTGGAAAAGCCTCCTTGCCACAATGACGGCCCAAAGAAAATTGATTTGTAAGTGTCAGGAGTGACTAAAAGAGGAATGCCCAGAAACCTTGTTGATTCCAAGACTGGGGACTAACTACTAAACTACAGGTCCTTATATACCTTTCAGAGGAACTAATAATAGAATGTCCATGACTAATGCTGTGTTCATTCTTCTAGAATCTTCCATAACCTTCTACAAGGTTCCATAACTTTCTAGTAGGATACCATATCAGGATGAACCCTGACAGTAAGCCTATAATAAATATGAGCTTAGCCATACAATAACAGTCAAACTTTAAGCCCTTACCCAGACTAATAGGTCACTGTGGAGGCACCCAGTGTATATTTCATCACTGTCAATCTCGAAGTTGGCATACAAGAAATGAACCACCAAGTCTTCAGGGTCTGCCTGTGATTTATTCGCTTGCATATCAGTGACTAGTCTTTTCGCAAATGTCAATTTATATAAATTTCAGGGCAGGTGGCACTTACTCGGTATTGCTGAGATCAGTGTCTGGTCCAGTGAAGAGGTAGTGAGTAAAGGCATTGTGAAATCCATGGGTGTTTCTTTGAGGTCGGCAGCTCCATCGTGAAGCTGGTGATGTGTTTGAATCATCTTGATTATTTGTATTTTGAGCACTGCATTGTCATCAGAATGAGAGCTGTCTTGACCACTACTGAGCTGTTGATTATCAGCATCAGGGTAGGCACTTATAAGGATTTGATGATTGACTTACATTGGTATATAGGCTTTGTAACAGTTCCTGGGCTTTTTTGGGGTCTTTTGCATTAGCAATGGCCGTAATGATGGCATCCAGGGCAAGCAAATGATTGATCACACCCTTATATCCTTGGATCAGGTGAACTTGACTGTTGAAACTGTTAAGAGAAGGAAAAAAATTAAAAATAAAACAAGGGACTGACTCTGGCATGAATTGTGTCATATCCTGCTCCTCAGCTTCAGCATTCTCATATTTGACACCCATGTTCATCATGGCTGAGGGGCTGCTGAAGGTGTCAAAAAGGCGGGCTAGAACATGACCCCATCCACGTTCAATCTCACTGAGATCTTTGTTGGCATGCTTGGACCTGTAAATCAAAGAAAAAGTTGTATTAGCTGTATGGCAACAAATATAGACAGTAAAACATACTTCTTTTTCTTGTGGTATGTAGACTGGGTGTCATCAGCTGAGCTCGGGTTTTGGTTCTCCTTATTTGCAAAAGGGTCATCATCACTGTTGGTGGAGTCACAAGTATGTTTAGTGCCACAGCCGTCGGAAGGAGAGGATTGAATGGTCTCTGGAGAGGAGGAGACAGCAGCCCTGGAAGTTGTACTGATGCTTGAGGTTGCAAGAGATGTTGCGAGAGATGTGGCTGCAGGTGTCAACAAGGGAGCAGGTATGCGTGAAGAACGAATAATGAGATTGAGAGCCATGGTGAAGATGGCAGAGTCTGAGAAAAAAGCCAAGATGAGAGGAGATATTGGGAGTGAATGTGAGTCAGGAACAGACTGCGGAGAAATATTTAAGGGCACATACCAGGGTTATATATGATTTCCTTGAATCTGCACGTGATGCATGTGAGTGGACTGCAAACCTTATTTTACTTTACTTTCCTTTGTTGTTGTTTTCATAGAGCTATGAAGGAGCTAAAACCAATAGGAGCTAAGGCCAGGAGGGGGTAGTCAGGTGGTGAATATGATCTGTACCTCAGCTGGGCACCATCTCGATGTGATTTCAACAATTCTTGGTAATCATATACTGGACTTTGCATCTGCAATGAACACAGAGCAATGAGTCACTTGTGTACTGCATGTCAAAGTGGTTATGACACACCTAG